CACACACACACACACACACACACACACACACACACACACACACACACACACACACACACACACACACACACACACACACACAACAAGATGTGAGTCATAAAAAAACATCAAATGTCAGAGAAAATGAGAGGGAAAGACTGGATAGAAAACGGCATGCAAAATGGGGGCAGGCAAAAAAAATAGAAAAGAAAGAAAAGAAACAGGAGAGGCTGATCAGGAGGGGGTGAGACAAAAAAGCAGCCAATGCGCAGCTCTGCATCTTCAGGAAGAGAGATGGGAGAGAGAGAGGGGGAGGGAGGGAAGGAGGGAGGGAACAAGTGCTGAAGCTGAGACAGCCACTCTGAGGGAAAAGCCTCTCAGTGTGATGCTGCCGGATGGGAACCGCTCTCCTTTAACCGGGCTTTGTCCATTCATTTGACTGAACCAGGTGTGTGTGTGTGTATGTATATGTGTGTGAGTATTATAGCTTGGCTTTACCCCTTCTGGAGGATCTGCTGTTCAGACTTAACGGGCTTGTTACCCTGCCCAGGCTGTCTGCAGAAAACGGGGGGGCTGACTTGAGCCAAGGTCTAGGCTAGGGGCAGGGCAGAGCTGGCTGTCAGGCCATTTGTGCCGGGCCACACAGGAAGACAACATGAGTGTTCCTATGCTCAAGATTGGGGCGGTGCTCAGCACTATGGCCATGGTGACCAACTGGATGTCTCAGACTCTGCCCTCTCTTGTGGGACTCAATGGGACCACCGTCTCCAGAGGGGGCACCTCAGAAAGGATTATAAGTGTGAGTATGACCTCATTTGCTTTATTTATTTATTATTATTTATTTATTTATTTAGTCTGTGTGTCCTGTTAATGAAATGAATGAGTTGAAGTAGAGTTGCGGCAATGTTTCCACCAGCTGTGAATCTCGCACAGAAATAAAGCTGCTGTTTTGTGCTTAAGCCTTTGTGCATGATCAAGAACGCTGTGCAGACGTCTGTGGCAAATCATATGTTTTGTGGCAGGGTGATGGGAGGTGGAGAGCTGTCCTGAGTGATGTTCTGGCTGATCTTATCTGTCAGTCAGCTCCGGGGCGGCAAACAGGGTGCTCATTTTTAAGGGTGATGGCAAAGACTTGAGACGTTCCCACAGTTCGGAGTGTGCCTTATTCCCTTACTTTGTCTTCAAATCATCTCAGTTGTCTCTTCTTGAATAAAACAGTGACCTCATGCTGGCAGACGGTGGGAGCGTTGTTAAAAATAAACATAGTTCAAATGAAGTTTTAAAATTTGACATTTCATTTCTTATAAAAAATGCATTTGCAAGTCTAATTTTGTCAAAATAAGATGAAAAAAAGAATAYTGTCAAGCAAGGAAATCAGATGTTTTCAGTCTCATTTGCAGTTAGTGGATGTTTTTTTTTTGTTTTGTTTTATTGCATCCTACCCATTAGGCAAATGCTTGGATCTGTTGAAATGACAGAAATTGCGCATCCCAAGAGGTGTACGACCATCTGGATATGTGTCTGTGAACGCCTCTATGCACATGTTTGTGCCAAAGTATGTGTGTGTTAAGACATATAAGCTGTCTTTGTGTGTTGAGTCATTTATGTCCCAGGGGTGAAAGTCCGTCTGTTTGATGAGGAGTTTTTATAAATCCTAACACCCATCTGACATTTTGTCTCTCTTTAATTCTGCCATGAAGCATCAGGCTGAAATGTTTTAAAAATATAAGTTTTTTTTTAAATTAGGACATCCTGCTGCTCTCTGTGTTTAAAAATGGCTTACAACAAAAATATTTCTGAGTGTTTATCTCAGCAGGAAATATTTGAACAATATCATTTTCAATATATGCATTTTTTTAAAAATTGCATTCATTTCCGTGCAGTCTTTTCAAAATATTCATAGAGGATTTTCTGTTTTGGTTATTGCATGTGAACTATAAAGTTTTCACATTTCTTTCTGTTGAGCTCAAACTAAAGCTCATGAATTGTAGCTCCATCATTTGCATTTTAAAAGACACCTTACAATAAATTACAAGCCATGGTTTTGCTTCCTGTTTTTATTAGGAAATTATCAGCAGAACTAGTGGAGTCAAATGGTGCTCCTTCTAAAGTTCCTTTCATTAAAGTTTTATTAAAAAGGATAAGTCAGTTTTGATGCGGTGATGTATTACTAGATTATAACAGACCGTTGTGATGGAAAACACCTTCGATTTGAGACGAGATTATTCTCCACAATGGCAGCAGATAAAACTTTCATGGAAAATTTGACTCAAAATCGCATCACTATTTATGAGAGATTTGCCTCCTGAGATGATCCGAGAAGCAGCCGTGAGTCACAAAGTGTTTCCAGCTCCAGTCAAAGGCAATCTAACTGCGGACTTGTGACACTCCTGTGCTGGCGTGCCGGTGGGTTGTTGCATGGCTGCTCCTCACCCTCAAAACCTGTGCATGCTGCTCTCTTCTCCCAGCTAAGAGCTATTTACAAAGTCTGCTGCACTTTCTCAACGTGCCTGGTTTCTAACCAGCTGATCCAAGAACACAGCTGACTGGGTTTATATGTGCTTTTGTGTAATGGCACTGCCTGCGTACTTGTGCACATCTGGATAGTGCAAAACTATGTTTCCTAATGAGTGGAAGACGTTTGGAACTCAATATATGGGAATATATATAGAACTACAGTGACTAGGTATTATCAAGCAAAAACATATATAGATGACTGTATATACAGAGGTAGTTACATTTACTAAGTTACATTTACTTGAGTAACTTTTGAAGTTCTTTTAGAAGTAGTTTTACTACACTATACTTTTTTACTTTACTTGAGTAATAACTTCACTAAATGAAGAACAAACATGCTTTAATCCAGTGGCGGATCTAGGATTTTTCTGCATAAGGGCCCATCAAGGGGCCATAATATTCATAGAGGGGCCAAGTATTTGTTCAACATCCTTGCACACAAATCCCTTGTTTTGGTAAGGTGTATACATTTAATCAGTCACACATGTTCAAATACTGTACTTGAAAAGTAATGTAGTTTAAACAGAAAGAAGCTTGTACAGTAAATTCTACTCACCAGTCTTACATCATGTGAGAAAATCCAGCCATTGTTAGACAGTTGAAAAACTTTTTGCGGGATTGTTCCAACTTTCTTAAGAAAAGAAGAAGACTTCTCTGAGCTTGATTCATGCTGGACTTTACTATTTGACTCATTAGCGCCACTAGTGTTTGGACAYGGAACTGCATCCCTCATTATTGCTCTCAGGCAAAGGACAGACGAGTGACAGGGCAGGGGCACTTCAGGGTGCCTATCAGATTTCAGCTGGGGCCAATGCCCCTGTGGCCCCGCCCCTATAACTGCACCTGCTTTAATCAGACCTATAGTTTATTTTGAAGTGAGACCTCTCATCCTTTATATATATATATATATATATATATA